GTACGCAAAAACAGGTTTATCCCCATGCAAACCACCTGGGAATGTGGTGAAAGAGTCTTGTAGTAACTTGAACTATCAGTATCCCCCGATAACAAAGTCATTCCGACCTAGGTTGCCTACGTTTGAAGTCTCAGGGGATTCTAATTGTTTTTCTAGGAGCTCTGCTCCTACACAGAGAATATCACAACTGAAAGAAAACATGACTAATCTCTCCTATTTGTTGCAGACAGAGGATTGTAGGACCCAAAACCAGGCCTGTGCTGACATCTGATGGTTGTGTGGTGATAAACTGATTGTGAACTCAAACTACATATGTAAACAATCAAACGTGTCAGAGACTGGTGAGTTGTCAAATAGAAAGTAGGACCTCCTCCCGGGATCCTTTGATGAAAGGATCCTGTGATGGGATAGGAGTACCTCGAGAGGTTACAGAACAATTCAAAGCTAGGAATCAGATCGCAGCTGAGTTTGAATCAAGTATTTTCTGATGGTCAACAATTAATAAAAATATAGATTGGATAAATTATATTTAATATAACCAGCAAAATATTTATAAACCACACTCGTGATGCAATAAAGGGATTAGCTGAGCAGACAGCGGCAACTATCTTAATGACAAAGCAGAATAGAATAGCGTTGGATATGCTTTTGGCTGAGAGGGGCGGGGTTTGAGTTCTGTTTGGATATATGTGCTGTACTTTCATCTCCAACAATATAGCACCGGACGGGCCCGTGACCAAAGCGCTTGAGTGACCATCACCACGCTGGCGAACGAACTGGTTGAGAACTCTGGTATTGATAGCTCCATAAACGGTTGGTTTGATAACATATTTGGTAAATGGAAAACTATTGTTGTGACTATTCTGGGTGAAGTTATAGCTTCTATGGGTATACTTGTTATTTGTGGATGTTGTCTTATTTCCTGGCTGAGTGACTGGTTTGGTGAGTACACTTCTATGGTGGTTACTGGATTTCTGACCCTAATAATTGTGTTTTTGCTGTTAATGTGTTGTGCTGCTTGCATCGTCCCCTGTCTCAGGAGGTCAGTGGTAGGAGCGGTGCAGGCGTCAGGTATGATGCTGTTGTTACCCGGCCCAGGATGATGCGGGGTGACTCTGCTACTGACTCTGAGACCAAGCTGGATGATCCATGGTTTGCCTAGTAAAATACATACACGCATTTATTTTCAGTTTCTTGCTCATTTATTACCTTATGTTTTTACTAACCACTGTGATTGTTTATTCTTCCTGATGTGAAGGTAAAGGATTCCTGGGTGGCTGGTAGCCAACTCAGTACATGTTAGGTGTAGGGGAGGAATAGAGGGTTAAATTTTTTTATTAACATTAAATGTTGTGATTTAATTTCCATATCCTGTTATTCTTAAGGGTGATTATACTCTGTTTAGAGTGACACCATAAATGGTGTCAAAAGAGGGAATTCAAAAATGTCCCTTTAAAAATCTTTAATCACACCCTAGAGTTTTAATAATCTTGTGTTTTGTGTTCTATTAATCCTGTGTTTTATGCTTTATTAATCAAGTTAGCCATGTGAATGTTTGTCTTTCCTTATGTGATGGTTTGAACTTCTTTGATGACTGGTAACAGTTTGCAAGTTGGGTGTCGATGGAAGGACTGAAGGACTTTTATTATCAAATTGTCTATTAATAAAAGTGTTTATTTTTGTTTGTATTGTATTTTAATGAGTGACACCCTAGAGGGCGTCAAAAGAGGGAATTGTTGGGTTTTATTTTTCTCATAATTGGATCTGTATGAGATGACTACCTTGGAAGGAATGCGTGATTAATGTGAGGAGCTGTTTAGGGAGTAGGGGGAGATAAGAACTTGTGTCTCAAAGTACTAGACCTCACTGCCTCTTTGTATTCTGTGAAACTGTCCTTGAACCTGGATACAGTGGATATTGTGTATTCTCGGTGCTGGCTCCGCAGGTTATCATAGCAACCATGTCTAGTAACAAATGGAGTGCCGAGGAGTTGGGCCCACCCCTGCGCCAACGGATTGGCTGAACCACACTCAGTCCTTTGCTCTGGTTGGCCAACAGAAGAGTACTTGAGAAATTTCTGTAAACAATAATTCTAGTTCTCTGTCGGCCCTGCGTGGTTTGTCAGTGAGCCCGTATACGAACTTTCATACTTATCATACAATACATTTTGCATATAATAAATTAAGCTTGGATTGAAGATCTCTTGATTCTTATTCCAATACCAGATTTGAATTACGCAATCTCAACAAAAGGCAGGTTAGGATGGATATAGGTCTGTAACAGTTTGGATCTAGAGTGTCACCCCCTTTGAAGAGGGGGATGACCGCGGCTGCTTTCCAATCTCTGGGGATCTCAGACGATACGAAAGAGAGGTTGAACAGGCTAGTAATAGGGGTTGCGAAATTTCGGTGGCTAATTTTAGAAAGAAAGGGTCCAGATTGTCTAGCCCAGCTGATTTGTAGGGGTCCAGATTTTGCAGCTCTTTCAGGACATCAGCTATCTGAATTTGGGTGAAGGAGAAGCGGGGGTGGGGGGGGGGACATGGGCAAGTTGCAGCGGAGGGTGCAGAGCTGCTGGCCGGGGTAGAGGTAGCCAGGTGGAAAGCATGGCCAGCCGTAGCAAAATGCTTATTGAAATTATCGTAGATTCATCGGTGGTGACAGTGTTTCCTAGCCTCAGTGCAGTGGGTAGCTGGGAGGAGGTGCTTTTATTCTCCATGGACTTTACAGTGTCCCAAAACTTTTTGGAGTTAGTGCTACAGGATGCAAATTTCTGTTTGAAAAAGCTAGCCTTTGCTTTACTAACTGATTGTGTATATTGGTTCCTGACTTCCCTGAAAAGTTGCATATCGCGGGGGCTGTTCGATGCTAATGCAGTACGCCACAGGATGTTTTTGTGCTGGTCAAGGGCAGTCAAGTCTGGGGTGAACCAGGGGCTATATCTGTTCTTAGTTCTGCATTTTTTGAATGGGGCATGTTTATTTAAGATGGAAAGTAAGCACTTTTGAAGAACATCCAGGCATCCTCTACTGATGTGCCCATGTTTACGGATTTAGGGTTGTACCTGGTAGGTTCCTTGATCATTTGTGTGAGATTGAGGGCATCTAGTTTAGATTGTAGGACGGCCGGGGTGTTAAGCATATCCCAGTTTAGATCACCAAGCAGTACGAACTCTGAGGATAGATGGGGGGCAAGCAATTCGCATATGGTGTCCAGGGCACAACTGGGGGCTGAGGGGGGTCTGTAGCAAGCGGCAACAGTGAGAGACTTATTCCTGGAAAGGTGGATTTTTAGAAGTAGAAGCTCAAACTGTTTGGGTACAGACCTGGATAGTATGACAGAGCTCTGCAGGCTATCTCTACAGTAGATTGCAACTCCGCCCCCTTTGGCAGTTCTATTTAGACGGAAAATGTTGTAGTTGGGGATGGAAGTTTCTGAATTGTTGGTGGCCTTCCTAAGCCAGGATTCAGACACTGCTAGAACATCAGGGTTGGCGGAGTGTGCTAACGCAGTGAACTTGGGGAGGAGGCTTCTGATGTTAACATGCAAGAAACCAAGGCTTTTACGGTTACAGAAGTCAACACATGATAGCGCCTGGGGAGTAGGAGTGATACTGGGGGCTACAGGGCCTGGGTTAACCTCTACATCACCAGAGGAACAGAGGAGGAATATAATAAGTATATGGCTAAAGGCTTTAAGAACTGGTCTTCTAGTGCGTTGGGTACAGAGAATAAACGGGGCAGATTTCCGTGGTGTTGTAGAATAGATTCAGGGCATTATGTACAGACAAGGATATGGAAGGATATGAGTACAGTGGAGGTACACCTAAGCATTGGGTAACGATGAAAGAGATAGCATCACTGGAGGTACCGATTGAGCTGGTCTCCGCGTTTATGGGGGGTGGGACAAAGAAGCTATCTGAGGCAGGTTGAGCGGGACTGGGGGCTTTACAGTGAAATAGTACAATAACAACTAACCCAAACAGCAATAGGCTAGGCATACTGAAATGGGAGAGAGGCATAACACAATCACAGGTGTTATTCGAGAGGGCTAAGACAACAACTGGTAATTGCGATAAAAGTTTGGGCTGAGGCTAAACAGATAAACAGGATGGGGTACAGTGTAAAGGAACAGTCCAGCGGGCATCAGAAGTGTAGCTGAGTGATCATAAGGTCCAGTGAACAGCAATAGGTAAGTCCGGGAGCAGTTTCGTAAGCTGCTACAGCACAGGCGAGCAGGAGGCACGGCTGTTGATTGTGCGTGCTAGCGGGCCGGTGCTAGCAGATGGATCTTCGTGGTCGTCGCAAAGGGAAGCCTGTTGAAACCACATCAGACGATTACGTCGGCAGACCAGTCGTGATGGATCGGCGGGGCTCCGTGTCGACACTAGGAGGTCCCGTCCGGTTGACCAGAGAGGTGGATAGCCGGGAGATGGGCCTGGCTCGAGGCTAGCTCAAGGCTAACTGGTGCTAGCTTTGGGACAAGTGGTGATTAGTGGTGATTAGCCAACAACAACATCCATTCGGTTGCAGCTAGCTAGTTGTGATGATCCGGTGTTAAGGTCCAGTGATTCAGTGATTCCGGCAGAAAATCCTAAATGCTCTGGGTCGATAGCACGCTGTGCAGACTGGCCGATAATTGTCCAGGCTAGAGCTGGCTGGTAGGTAGTGCAGGCCACGTACAATGGTGAAGACCGCTAACGGTGGCTAATAGCTAATAGCAAGTAGCGAGTTAGCTGGCTAGTTTCAGCTGTGGGTTCTTGATAAAAGGTATGAAGAAATAATAGAATCCGTTCCACATTGGGTGAGGCGGGTTGCAGGAAAGTATATTTAGTTAAGGATGGAGTGAGAAATATATACGAAAAAAGACAAAAAAACAGGCTATTTACACGAGGACACAACATAATACACGACCGCACTGCTATGCCATCTTGGATCAATGTCTGGGATGTCAGTCTGGAATGACACTGTTTGTAGACAGCTTATGACATTATGGCAGTTCCTATGGAAGCAATAAATGGAACACAGAATCTGTATTTAAATATTTATACTCACTGTCTTTGGCTGCAAGTTGAAACAAGTCGTCATCTATATCCTCAGCCTCATCAAACAGAGATAACTTAGGTTGGGTAGCCACTTTAGCCTGTGGAGGCGTTTTCTTCTTCTGCCTCGTGCACCTGGGGGAAAGGGTGACAGATGGCGTTAAATACCATACAGTGCCTGTAGAAAGTATCCCAATTTTCAAATTTGGTTGATTTACAGCCTGAAATGAAATTCTCTTCATCCAGTATACAGATATTTGAGAAGACGCCAAAACCATTGAGAAAAACATCTAAGATGACCACAACCTCAGCAAGGTTCTTACTTTAAATTGCCTAGAGGTCCAAGGTACTCATCATCATCGTCATGTTCCTCCTCTTCACTAGGCTTCACTGGTGGAACATGTTTGGTTACTCTCGCAGGAGCAGCAGGGATCTCATCCCTTTCAAAGAAATTAAAGCCTTCGTCTTTATCCTGGTCCTGCCAATCTGCAACGTTCCTAGTTTTCAGATCTGCCATTGTGGACTTCGCCCCTGCAGAAATATGAACTGTGAGCCAAATATTCTTTATGATGATATATTATTGATTAAATAAGGCAACTTCTACACTACAGGGAAGTACTGTGCTTTTTTTTCTGTTGGTTCATAATTCATACCTTTCTTAAATAACTAGCAAGGCAGATACATGTCAGTTTTGAACTCCTGACCGCCTTGATATACAGTAACCTCATTGTTCAAATAATAACGTCACAGTTTGGTGCAGTGCGGTAGTATTAGTACTACTCCCCAAAGTTGAAAGTTTTCTGACCTATGTAGTTTGCATTAAGCTGGGAGGGGTGGCATTAATGTAGGTGAATGAGTTAGAAAGTGCAAGTTTCGGTCAGAGACAAGCAAATCCAGCCATTTACCAGCCAACAGTGCATGGTGCCATATTTAGTTGGAACGAGTGGGAAAGAGCATATTAAAATGTCTAAAAACTGTATAGAAAAAATACTATTTACTGTAGTGGATTGTGGTACATTACCTAAGAGCTCCAACACCTCTGGGCAAGTAGCAAGTGTGGAATTCTTGGAGATGAACTTGACCAGTTCGTCAAAGGCCACCCTACGCTCCCGGATGTCTGCCTCGCCTACAAACAGGGCCTTGCGAGGCATGGCTGGTAAGGTGATCTTCGGATACTGACCCATGAGTCTGTAGTAAAACTCATCAATTTCACTGTATTTCTTTGAAACCTGCAAAACACATGTAAAACATGCAGGGTCTAGGTACACCTGTAGCCTTTATAGCAATGCTTTGGGGTTAAATTCCAGCCGATAGAATTGTATATTTTGTTGTTGTTCAAAATCTTAATGTGATTATGCATTATGTAGCTGTTATAAAGGGTTTAGGAATGCATACTGTACATACTCAATACTACAGTGAAGTGTTCCTACAATTTCAAACCAAGCAGTAGCTACTACACCATCACTTTCAATGTTAGTTTGAGGTGACTTTGAGGTGAATAAGGACAGGATGCTAATACTTATGTTTCCACCTAACTTACATGGGACTATGACTACCTACCACCAGCTGTACAATGTCTTCAGGTTTGTGCTTGGCGGATTTGAAGGCAGCCAGCCGAGTCACCACAATGATCTGGTACTCCACATGACCTGTCATCATGGTACCACGGATCTCCTGGTAAAGAGGCACCTGCAGATCTATGCCTGTCACCTCATTCTGCAACGGCCTGGGATGAAAAACATTGTGACATTGACCAAAAGTAATTGCACAAAGTGCAAGATTCATACAAGAACAGAACTGTGGAGTGACATCTTGCATAAACATCATTCCACACTGTCCCAACGGTAAACATCAAGAAAGGAATCCAGCAAACATGTCAATGACAACTTTTATTTCTCTACTTGCTGGTATGAATTAATATGTGCACAATAGTTTGGTGAATAGTTGCAACTAAGTCAAAGGGACCCCTGGGCTGGTACAGGGAAATACAAGGACTGGCTAAAACAAGTAAACAAAGATGGGGATGTGTTTCACAAGTGTTATTATCAGGCAACACCGAAACATCCTAAGAAAGATAGCTACGAAATGTTCTTTATCTTACCTGCTTGTAATAAGTCCGTCTGGCATTGTGCTAAGATTGCTGTCCTGTCTAGACTCTGTTTATAGCCGTAATCAAGTAGACCACCCCATTCCCTACTGTTGATACAAGTCATGGGATGGGAACTAGATACTGTTTTTGCTGCCAGCACAGAAAAAAGGAACTTCCGGTTCTAGCTTTCAAAATAAAAGCGCGCAGCTGCACTTCTTCTGCACTGCACGAGCGCCAGGCGGTGAGTTGAGAATACTTTGCAGTTGCTTGTCGTCTGGGAAGGAGGCAAATCGACTCTTTGACAGTAAGAGCCGAGGCATATGTCAGTAGCAGAACAAGCTCAAATCAAGTAAAAACTAGCTTGTTTCGACAGCATAGCTAGCTAACTAACTCATCATCTACATTGGCTATGATCAGCTGATAGCCCATCCCTCTTTGCCTCTATGGCTCTTGCTTACAGCCCTGCTACACTATTGCCATCGGTCACACGGTGTGGTGAGTACTCGATCCGTTGGAATACGCCCATACCAGCGCTTATTTCAAAGAGCGCTTTATAAGCCACGCCCCAGTGGGCAGATCTAGGCATGTTGCACTGGGACAAGTTTTAATATAGAAAAAACTCAATTTACAATGGGTCCGCCGTGGTTCTATGTAGCCTAGTTATGCTAATATTTTGAGACCAGTGTATTGCAGTTAATTTCGTCTTTGACTTAATAAGTAAAATATATTTGAGTAGTAAACAGGGAAACAACAACGAAGGGAAGAGAGATACCTAGTCCGTTTCACAGCTGAATGCATTCAACCGAAATGTGTCTGCCGCATTTAACCCAACCCCTCTAGGTTCCATAGAGTACGCAATAGAATATATACCAGAGGGGGGCATCGTTTACTAGGCTACCTAAATTATTGGGATAATTTGGTTACCACCAGTGTTTGGAATACATTGAGTTCGTTGACAAAACAGACTACGGAGATGGACGGACGGAGATGTATTTGTCAAAGCACCGCGGTGGGTCTGTGTAAACTATGCAATTATATTGGAGACTGCTTGAGCAGTGAATGTCATCTATTAATTTACTGTTATAGTATTTCTAAGTAGCAGCCATATCAGCCAGGGAAACTAATTGTTCTCACTGTATGATAGAAACAATCCGATTTTCTGCCTGACCGTGGCGCTCTTTACCTGAATTGTTAGGATTTTCTTGTAATCTCAACAAAACTGCTTATTTTGCTGAAATATAGATAATTTAATTGTTTTCTTTGAAAATGTAAAAGATGGGCCTGGCTGAGAATAGAACATTCCGTTTTCTGCCTGAGTGTGGCGCTGTTTATTGCAATGTTCTGGATTATCTTGTGACCAGAACAAAACTACTTATTTTACTCAACTAGAGATGGAAATAAATGGTTGTTTCTTTAAAAAGATGGGCCTGGCTGACGTGAAAAATACATTAAGGGGAAAGGATCCAGAGACACAGAGGCTAATTATCTTTCTGCACATCTCTTATTTACAATGCTGGCTGCCATGGTTAACAAAAACGCAGGACATTGAAGGCTACCTGAATTGATTCAGAAAAGTAACATAAGTAGTCTGAAAGTCAAACAGCGAGGTCAAACAGGTTTGTGTTAGTCCGATTATCTAGTGTCCACAGCAACACTATTGATTATTCTTTACCCCTAGTGCATGTGGTGTACTATGGTGTTAGCCATGCTCCCCCTAACCCTCATCTTTTCTCTTTCTCTGTCTCCCCTTCCGGAGGGCCTGAGGCTTTTGGACCGCGACTTAGGACACCCTGGCCTGACACTGGACGTGCCTGGCCAAATCTCCCCTCTACCTGCCTGTTACTTTAAAGTCCATAATTAACCTATACAGCTCTGGATCCATTGTCTTACCTACTACTGCAAAAACTTTTATGGAATACCAATTATTTGCCCTTTTATGCCATTTTTTTAACTAATGATTCAAAGCTGTGTGACCATTAACAATTGCTGCATATCCATTGTCCTTCTCCCAAAGTGTGGACTTGCATGTTTCTTCTCATCTCAGGGATTTAACAATGGTGTAAAGTAGCTCAAGCCAATGCTTACACCTAGCCAATGCTGGATATCCATGAGGAGAGAGATGGACAATTGTTATGCAGCCACTGATTTTCAGATGGCTTCATCTACAGATGGAATGTGTTCCAAATGGCACCCTATTCCGTATACATAGTGCACTCATTTTTACCAGGGCCCATAAGGCTTTGGGACACATTCTGCCTATTGAGCCCCACCCTGCCTATTGTTAACCATTTCTCCATCCCATTCCCCCAGTTAAACAAACAAAGGGGAGTGGCTCTGACTCTAATTTATGTAGTAATAATAATATAATAATATGCCATTTAGCAGAGACCTTTTATCCAAAGCGACTTACAGTCATGCGTGCATACATTTTTGTGTATGGTTGGTCCCGGGGATCGAACCCACTACCTTGGCGTTACAAGCGCCGTGCTCTACCAGCTGAGCTACAACAGTCATGTTTATTTTTCAGAAAACAGTGTTATTTGAATATAACCTCTAAGGTAGCTGACATTGGTCTGCCAAAGCAACATACAGTGGGGGAAAAAAGTATTTAGTCAGCCACCAATTGTGCAAGTTTCTCCCACTTAAAAAGATGAGAGGCCTGTAATTTTCATCATAGGTACACGTCAAACTATGACAGACAAAAATGAGAATTTTTTTCCCAGAAAATCACATTGTAGGATTTTGAATGAATTTATTTGCAAATTATGGTGGAAAATAAGTATTTGGTCAATAACAAAAGTTTCTCAATACTTTGTTATACCCTTTGTTGGCAATGACACAGGTCAATGTTTTCTGTAAGTCTTCACAATGTTTTCACACACTGTTGCTGGTATTTTTGGCCCATTCCTCCATGCAGATCTCCTCTAGAGCAGTGATGTTTTGGGGCTGTCGCTGGGCAACACAGACTTTCAACTCCCTCCAATATTTTTCTATGGGGTTGAGATCTGGAGACTGGCTAGGCCACTCCAGGACCTTGAAATGCTTCTTACGAAGCCACTCCTTCGTTGCCCGGGCGGTGTGTTTGGGATCATTGTCATGCTGAAAGACGCAGCCACGTTCATCTTCAAAGCCCTTGCTGATGGAAGGAGGTTTTCACCTCAAAATCTCACGATACATGGCCCCATTCATTCTTTCCTTTACACGGATCAGTCGTCCTGGTCCCTTTGCAGAAAAACCAGCCCCAAAGCATGATGTTTTCCACCCCCCATGCTTCACAGTAGGTATGGTGTTCTTTGGATGCAACCCAGCATTCTTTGTCCTCCAAACAAACAAGTTGAGTTTTTACCTAAAAGTTATATTTTGGTTTTCATCTGACCCTATGACCTTCTCCCAATCCTCTTCTGCCATCATCCAAATGCACTCTAGCACAACTTCAGACGGGCCTGGACATGTACTGGCTTAAGCAGGGGGACACGTCTGGCACTGCAGGATTGTGAGTCCCTGGCGGGCGTAGTGTGTTTACGATGGTAGGCTTTGTTTACTTTTGGTCCCAGCTCTCTGCAGGTCATTCACTAGGTCCCCCCGGTGGTTCTGGGATTTTTTGCTCACTGTTCTTGTGATCATTTTGACCCCACGGGGTGAGATCTTGCGTGGAGCCCCAGATCAAGGGAGATTATCAGTGGTCTTGTATGTCTTCCATTTCCTAATAATTGCTCCCACAGTTGATTTTCTTCAAACCAAGCTGCTTACCTATTTGCAGATTTCAGTCTTCCCAGCCTGGTGCAGGTCTACAATTTTGTTTCTGGTGTCCTTTGACCAGCTCTTTGGTCTTGGCCATAGTGGAGTTTTGGAGTGTGACTGTTTGAGGTTGTGGACAGGTGTCTTTTATACTGATAACAAGTTTCAAACAGGGGCCAGTTAATACAGGTAACGAGTGGAGGACAGAGGAGCCTCTTAAAGAAGAAGTTACAGTTCTGTGAGAGCCAGAAATCTTGCTTGTTTTGTAGGTGACCAAATACTTATTTTCCACCATAATTTGCAAATAAATTCATAAAAATCCTACAATGTGATTTTCTGGAGAAAAAAAAATCTCAATTTGTCTGTCATAGTTGACGTGTACCTATGATGAAAATTACAGGCCTCTCTCATCTTTTTAAGTGGGAGAACTTGCACATTGTTGCTGACTAAATACTTTTTTCCCCACTGTACCAATGAGATTCACTAATTGTATTGCAGTTGTGTGTGTGGTGTTGCCATTCAGCCTCATCTAGCCTTGGTATTGAATAACTGATAACTGACAAAATACCTCAGCCTTAGGAAATCTTTGGGGAAAGAAGTCACACTTCCGGTTTTGCACAAATCTTTATTGACTTGCTGTAATAGAGATTCAGACCATATCAAGCAGACGTCATGGTAAGTAATGGAATCCAAGTTTCTGGGTGTGTAGGGGTCAGTGACTTGAGGGGAAGAATAACCATTGGAGGCAGCAACAGGCAGGTAGATGGGGACCAGGTGGGATTGGGCCAGGCACATCCAGGTGTCAGGCCAGGGTGTACTCAGTCGCAGTCCAAGAGCCTCAGGCCCTCCGGAAGGGGAGACAGAGACAAGATGAGGGTTGTGAGCATGCACTGGGGTAAAGACTAATCAATCGTGTTGTTGTGGAAACTGGATAATCTGACTAACACACACACACCTGTTTGACCTCGCTGTGATACTGTAGGCCTACTTATGTTACTTTTCAATTCAGGTAGCATTCAATGTCCTGCGTTTGTGTTAACCATGGCAGCCAGCATTGTAAATAAAGAGATGTGCAGATTGATAATCAGCCTCTAGTGTCTGTGGATCCTTTTCCCTTAATGTATTTTTCATGTCAGCCAGGCCCATCTTTTCAAAGAAACACCATTTAATTCAATCTCTATTTTGAGTAAATAAGGAGTCTATTGTTTCAGTTTCGTTTTCACTTCTCTTTACCTGGTAAATAACCAACAAATTGTATTTATTTATTTATTTTTATTTCACCTTTATTTAACCAGGTAAG